TATTGTTATTATGAAACACCCAGGTGGAGCACTGTAGTGGAACTATGGGCCTGGAATCAGGAAGACCAGAGTTCAAATCCAGCTTCAGACACAATAACTGTGTGATCTGAGCAAGTCACAGGACTGCTGCCTCAATTTCCTTAACTATAAAATAGGAATGATACCTCCTAACTCGCAGAGTGTTGTGAGGATCAAATTAGATAATATTTATAAAATACTTAGCACAATATCTGGCACATAGTAGGTGCTTAATAAGTATTATTTTTTTCCTTCTTAATAATAGTAATACTAATAGTGGATTATTAATGCAGATTCTATAGTAGTATTCTTAAATCCAATATAGCAAATTTGGCTGTCAACAATGATCAAATAAACTAAATCTTGACAAATTTCCTCTATGCTCTTTCCTCTTGGCATGATAGAGATAGGTATCTTAAAACTAGTCTATTCTCTGTGTGTTCTTTGAACTATCTTAAAGCTGCTGCAGTTTTCTCAACATGTGGAATCATTCACCTTTAACACGCCTTTGCACAAAACACAATGCAGATGGTTATTTTCATATTTCCACTATTAAGAGTAAATTTAAGATCAATTATCACAACAGGGAGTGCCTCGCTACCCTATGTAATAATCTTTTAATCCAGACACACACACACACACACACACACACACACACACACACACACACACAGCCATTTCCAAAGAAGGTCAATAACAAGCAGTCCTTTAAAAGCTCACATAGAAAAAATAATCCCATCTTCATAGACATAAACACTTTAGGTTCTCAAGAATACCCCTCATAAGGAAGACAGAAGGCATAGATTTTTTTTTACTAAACATCATCCTTAAAAATTCCAAAATCCACTATTTCTTTAAAAATCTACAAAAACGAGACCAGTACTAAATTCAAAGCTTCCAGGTTGTTTCATTTGTTGGACATAGGCACCACTGTCCTAGCAAAAGTTTTAACAACTGGCTCTCCTCCCCTCAAAAAGAAATAAAATAAAAGTTATACAGCACATACCTTTAAGTTAAATTTGCACTATCGACATTTTCTCCTTTTTTTCCTAAGCCTAGACAATTAACAGAAGAATAAATCAAGATCTGATTTGTAGCATCTGCCATTTTCCAAGGCATAAATGCTCACATTGAAGATTTAACAACTGGTTCTCCTAAGCCATTTGAGTTGAATATAGGCACACAAAGCTGGCTTTATACACAGAAAGAGAAGGGGCTTGCCCAGATTGTATACTCTAAGAGCGATAAGTTATCATTGGACCTTTGACTTTCTCCAAGCTTCTGCACAACTATCTGCTACCTTTCATAGGAAGACAACTGACTGAGCCCCAGCCTGCCACTGAGTCACGCAAGCTTGAGATCATGTCAGATATGAGGTGAAGAGCTTCAATTACTTATCCAAGACACAGTGTGGATACAAATGACTCATAATCCAATGTTTTAGAAACAGGTATGATCTAGTCAATGCATATTCTTCTGATGATATATTTAAATGTCAGCATTTTTTTGATTACCACTGCCCTGTTCTGAACCTCAAAGAGCTATAACTAGGTCATTGCTGGGGATATCAGGAAAGGAGGCAGTGAGGTGTGTGTGTGTGTGTGTGTGTGTGTGTGTGTGTGTGTGTGTGTGTGTGTGTGTAAAGATGCATATGCTAGAGGGAGCAAATATACTCTTAACAGTGCTTTAAACACCCTCCAGGTTGTCTGTCCTAGAAAAAAAGCTCTCATGACCACACCCTAGTTACATCTCTGTTACTTTATCCCAAACAATATATTTCCTTAGCATTCACCCCCCAAAAGAGCAGTAGCAATAGTTACTCTCTTAATGTCAAATTGTATATATGTGTTTATATCTACATAAACACACACATATACACATATGTATACATATGTAGTATATATTATATTAATATATTATTACAGATATATAATATATAAATATATTATGTGGGGAAAGAGGCTAAAATCAGAAATAATGTGACATTAGAGATTACCTAATCTAACCCATTATTTTCTAGATGAGGAAAGTGTCATAGAAATGAAGTGACTTATCCAATGTCATGTAGTCAGTGAATATTGGAACCTTGATTGTCATCCCTATTTTCTAGCTCTAAGACCATTGCTTTTCCTGCTACCTTCCAGGGTCCCCATAGAAAGTATTTTTGAGTCCCAGAGGATGGTACACTAACATGTCAGAGGACAGGATTCCAGGTTTTTACCAAATTTTGACATATTTTGAGAGAAGTAGTATAGTGTTATAGATAAAAAAAAAAAACAGCCTTGGAGTCAGAAAAACCTGAGTTCAAGCCTTCTTTCTGCCATATAATGACTATCTGACCTGAACAAGACACTTAAATTCTCAGTATCCCAGGTAATTCTCTCAGACTATAAGATGAAGATCAGGTTTACATTCATTATGATTTACATTATTAATGACAGTTTTCCCAGGTTGGGGAGTTCACGACACTAATTAAATCACAGGTCTGGTTCTATGTACCTACTTATGTATAAATACATAAGTATACATACATATACAGAGACAAAGTGAGAGACAGAAACAAAGAAATGGATAGATACACATATAAAAATATACATATATACCTATGAGCAATGTATATGTGTATATACATAAATACAATGTATGTGTATATACACACATGTTGCATGTTCAAGTCTTGTTCCAGACAATATGTCTTCAAGTCATCATCACAATGTGTATTGTTACTGCTCAGTCATTTCTATCATGGCCAACTCTTCATGACCCTATTTGAGGGTTTCTTGGCAAAGATACTAGAGTAGTTTGCCATTTCCTTCTCTAGCTCATTTTACAGATGAGGAAACTAAGGCAAACAGGATTAAGTGATTTGCTCAGGGTCACATAGCTCATAAGTATCTGAGGTCAAATTTGAACTCAGGTCTTCTTGATTCTAGGCCCAGTACTCTATTAACTGAGCCACTTACGGATGCATACACACACACACACACACACACACACACACACAAAATATTCACAGGACTAGAAACAGTCACATATAAGAATTTAGGAAGAAGTTTTCCAAAAAAACAGTAAGACCTGAAAATGATAAGATTAACATGAACCCTACAACATTTATCATTATGCACGGCACCGCACATATATTCATCTTTCACAATCCATCCCAGCTCATAGGATCATAGATTTAGAACTGGAAGATATCTTAGAGGCACATTTTACAAATAAGGAAACTGAGTCTCAGAAAGCTCAAGTGACTTTTCCAAACTCATACAGGTAGTGAGTGGCAGAGCCAGGAAGCTCAGAACTCTGGCTCCAAATTCACTGCTGTTTTTTTTTCCTATTTCATCATTCCACCTCTTCAACTTTTCTACTCTCATACTACAAGGTAAATGGTAACACAAGGATCTGCCTAAATCAAGTGCATACAAAACTCATCCATTAACCTCATAGGATCTTCCTGGTTGCCTTTATTCTTGCTATGAGTTCTTAGAGGCTTAGAGCTCACTAGCCACATAGACCATGCTTACTTTGCACAAATGTTATAAAACTACTTTTGGTAACAAGTTAATGGCATTACACTGGGGACCCATAATTCTAGCAGAGTTCAGAATACGTGGCCTTGAAGGTGCCTTTCAAATCTAGGATTCCATAGTTCTATTACTCTATGTCGCTTACTGTGGGAGTGATTTATGAAGGGTAACTAAAAATAATGCAGGAAATGATGTGGTCTGTTCACCTGGCTCCAAGTAAAATTGCTTTTCAACCAACCCAGAGAGTTTATCCTTTTGAAAAACTACCCAATCACAGTCACTAACCCAGCTTAGGGTTAATCAACTATAATCAAGATAATCTTTAATATAGCTAACCTCAGTCCCCCGTACTTCAGCATGAGTCAGGTCATCTTGTGCTAGTCTCAATGAAGATGGAAAATCTGTAGGTGTTCATCTTTTCACAATTTAGAAATGTCCATTTTCATAATTAAGAAAAGAATAATTCTAAGGATCATGGAAAATAAATACTCTTATTATCTTCCCTCTAATCCTATCTCAGTTTCTCAAAAACTGTTTTTCTGACAGTTTTTAATAGTTTTTTTTTAGCAATTAAGTCCTTCTGGCAGATTGAAAGAAGATGGTTTGTGTCAAGATACACTGTGTGCTATAGTAAGCATATAGTAAAGAGAAGCATATAGTAAAACCTAGACATTGATAACTGGAAAAACTTGGTTGCAACAAATAAAATTAAATTCAATATGTTGTGTACCCTCAAACCTCATTGTGGCAAAAAGTGAACCTGGATTCTTTAAGGACAGTAATGAAGTTAGAATTTTTAAGATTCTACCATGCTAGAAAGCCTTCAAGTATAATCCTAGCAATACCCTATATCTGCTTTCTAAGAAACAGCCTACATAAGCACAGAGAAGTTCATCAATACATTGGCCATAATTTGGTTCTATGACGCATTGATTTAAATTTTTCTTCAACTGGAAATTATAGGGGTATGATGTCTTGATCAAGATGATCACATGTTTGAATTTTGATTGGGGATACATGCTATCCCTTTCCCTAGGTGACATGAGTCATCATGATTTGGTTATGTTACCACTGGCTAGGGATGATAAAGGAAAAAATTTAAATCAGGAATGAAAGTAATCCTTACAAGCTTCTTTATGTACATTACATTCATTTAACTTTTTAACAGGACCAGATGGTACAAGTAGCATATACTCAAAACTACTTTATAAGACCAGCAATATTCAGCTTGAGAAAAGTTAAGGTGGAAAAGATCTTTTGAACCATTCAGAACCCATCCAAAGCTAGTACTTCTGGCAATTTATCATTTCCAACTGTTAACATCTGCAGTTGATGAGTACTTTATCCAAAATGTATATAAAGGTTAGCTTTAAATTAATTCCCCAGAGTCACATTTAACTAAAAATTCTATCAAATACTAACTGTGGAATAAAACATTAGGCAAAACATCTCTACCTGTCTGGCTTCGCTCACATCCTCTCTTGATAAGAACATCTTCCACAGAAGTTTCAAAAACTAAGCGAACATCTTGAAGGAAACCCTGTAAGAAAGCAAAATGAAAACAAAGGGGGGGAAAGTTTTGAAATGATCAAGGACAAATGAGGATAATTTTCTTTCCTGATTTACAACTAGTGAACTTGATTGGATAAATAATTATCCTTGGGGTGTATCCTTGTAAAATCACATTATTGGTCATACTTTTGGAAATCTGTAAAGGTTGGGGTAGTTAAGGTTTTGCCACAGGCACTTGCATGATTGGTACATTCTCTTGGGGAGAAGGGCTACTTCTTCCACGCAGCAATCCACACTGCCCAATGCTATTATGCTCCCTGAACCCTGTTGGACTTAGGGAGAATATAGGCCCAAGAAGAGGAATAAAGAGTAGGCTCGAAGGCCAACAGAGGAGAATAAGGAGTGCATGAGCTTCTCTCCCAAATGTGGTTGGCCCTGTATCCTTTATGCCCCTGATAGAACACCCCAAACTGAACTCAAGGCCATCCTGACTTCACCATCAAATATTTTTAGTTATAAACATCTGAGAACAAGAGCTTGGCATGAAATTATTTCTAGATGAAGGGAGGAAGGCCATCCACACAAAAATCTGGAATGGCACTCATATGAAAATAGGAAATAATTTTGAAAGAATGTCATTCAAAGAATTTGCTTTTAAAATTCCTAAGCATGTAGGTTACTCTGTTATGCTATGCTGTTATATTATGCTAAAGGTTATATACATATATATGTGCATATACATGTACATATATATGTATATAACCTTTACAATAATGTATATGTGTGTGTGTATGTGTACATATATAATATATATGTGTATATATATATATATACATATGTGTGTGTATGTGTACATATATAATATATATATATGTGTGTATATATATACATATGTGTGTGTCTGTGTGTGTAGATATAGATATAGATATAGATATAGATATAGATATAGATATAGATATAGATATAGATATAGATATAGATATAGATATAGGTATAGGTATAGGTATAGGTATAGGTATAGGTATAGGTATAGGTATAGGTATAGGTATAGATATAGGTATAGATGTAGATGTAGATGTAGATGTAGATATAGATGTAGATATAGATGTAGATATAGATATAGATATAGATATAGATATAGATATAGATATAGATATAGATATAGATATAGATATAGATATAGATATAGATATAGATATAGATATAGATATAGATGTAGATATAGATATAGATGTAGATATAGATATAGATATAGATATAGATGTAGATGTAGATGTAGATGTAGATGTAGATGTAGATGTAGATGTAGATGTAGATGTAGATGTAGATGTAGATGTAGATGTAGATGTAGATATAGATATAGATGTATAGATATAGATATAGATATAGATATAGATATAGATATAGATATAGATATAGATATAGATATAGATATAGATGTAGATATGTATGGGTATGGGTATGGGTATGGGTATGGGTATGGGTATGGGTATGGGTATGGGTATAGATGTAGATGTAGCTGTAGCTGTAGCTGTAGCTGTAGATGTAGATGTAGATGTAGATGTAGATGTAGATGTAGATGTAGATGTAGATGTAGATTAGATGTAGATTAGATTAGATGTAGATGTAGATGTAGATGTAGATGTAGATGTAGATGTAGATGTAGATGTAGATATAGATATAGATATAGATATAGATATAGATATAGATATAGATATAGATATAGATATAGATATAGATATAGATATAGATATAGATATAGATATAGATATAGATATAGATATAGATATAGATATAGATATAGATAGATATAGATATAGATATAGATATAGGTATAGGTATAGGTATAGGTATAGGTATAGGTATAGGTATAGGTATAGGTATAGGTATAGGTATAGGTATAGGTATAGGTATAGGTATAGGTATAGATATAGATATAGATATAGATATAGATATAGATATAGATATAGATATAGATATAGATATAGATATAGATATAGATATAGATATAGATATAGATATAGATATAGATATAGATATCGGGGGGGGCAAAATGCTAAGCTGCACTAGCATAATAAACCACAGGTAAGTCATCCATCATACTCTGCATCCAACTAATCAAGTATAGCTAAATTATTTTTTAAAAATAATATAACACCAAAATCATTAGCATTGAACTTTTTAAATCATTAACTAGTTTTAACCATACTTACATTTCCAAGTGCAAAACCATTGGAAGAAAATAATGGCATTAAAATTCCACTGTAAGTCATGAGCACTTATGCTTTGAAAGATACCCCAAATTGAGTGAACAGTCATCGGCACTGAAATAAATTCTCACAAGTTAGTCTTTATTTTGACATGGACAGCTAATGGTTTACTCTCCTAGCTCTTCAAAAACAGGGAAAACAACAACAAAAACAACAAAGCAAATACTCGAGTGTGACTTCAGAAAATGATGAAAATAACCTTGCAGAATCAAGCAGAATCTGAATGGGATTGATTTTTCAGGACCCAGAAGTCATAACTGATATGTGGGATTGATAGTAGCTTGATCTCTTGAAAGGATTACTATTAGTTTTGTGGAGACTCTACATGCATAATTGAAGGAGGTAATATTTATTGGAATGGGAATGTGAGAATGTATCAGTTTCAGTACCCTACTGACTCAAGGATATATCCTCTTTCACCTTAAAAGATACACCATTTTCCTATTTCATCCCTATCCAAGTTGATTTCTTGCCCTGAGAAAGTGCACACATACCCTGAAGTGATTTTCTCGGATGGAGCCTTTGGCCACATACATTCTGCTATCCTCAGCCTTCAGCTGCTCATAGAAAGGCTCCTCCAGAATGAAGTTGTCAATGAGGTCACAACCCACATAGAGGCTATAGGTCTCCCCTGTCAGCTGCACAGTGATATTTTTCCAATGGGAGTCAGCCAGATCCACATCCTCCAAAGAAATCACATTCTGGCCCTTATCTCCATAGTAAATCAGGTCCAGGGTATTGGCCCGGCCATTGGATATAATCTCAAACTGCCTCTGAGAGTTCCCAGGGCCCTCCAAAGCCAGGAGGGTACCCCTCGAATGTTTATCCTGCTTTAGAATGGCAGTGAGGAAGAAGCCCTCATTTTGCCTCATCATCTTCAGTATCTTCTTTAGAATCTCAGCTTTCACTGGTGGAATGTGATCAAATCTGATAAAGCGATAAGCTGGGCTATTAGGGTCAGGCCCTCGGAACTGCTTGGCACCAAGTGTCCTTCGGTTTATGTTACTGATTTCAAATAGGTCAAAGGAAGCATCATCTTCTCCATCAGCATCTGCAAAAGTTAATGGCAAATAACAAGGGCTTTCACCAAAGAAAAAATGGCATGTAGCAAAATTTTTCTGTGGGGTTGCATATTCTTTATTATTAGCATATCAGTTATGATGACTTTATATGCATTTGATGAAATCACTGTCTTATACAAAAAGTTGAGTTCTAATTTCTCTATTCTATTCTGTTTCTTTCCATCTCAGCTATAAACCTATATTTTATGTAACTACTCTGCTCTAAAACTGGTCTACCCAGAAAGAAGAGGAGAGTAAATTTATATCCCTTCCTTAATTTGGACTGAATTTTCAAAAGAAAAAAATGAGCTCTTTGAATTTACTTAAACGATTTCATTTATCAAAGGCCCATTTTTTTCTTCATTGTAGCCCATGGCAAGGGCAGTAAGGAATTTAGAGGCAATAGTTGAACTTCAGTTTATGCACAATGGAGATTAACATCTTAGTTCTTTTTTCTTTTAATGAATAACCTAAAGCTATAGTCTAAATTTACTGGTAAGAAAAGTTAATGTTGTAATATCATAATTGAATCCATAGTATCTAAAACTAATACAAAAATTACTACTATTACCTTTTTAGTCAGACATTTATGTTGGGCCAGGTACTCTGGAAAACAATTATTGCTTGGCCCAGCTTTCAATTCTTAGCTGGGTTATAACTTAAGATTTGCTGTGTTTAGTGAGTACATACCTTGAGCATTGGAGAAAGCCCAGAGAGCCAAGAGGACCAGCCACCAGAGCATCCTGCCTTTCTGTAGCATCACACCTATGGGTAAACCAAGAGAGAGAAAAAAAACTGACTTTTAGCATACATGGGGATCTTTAGTCACTTGACCATACCTACATGTAAGTGAACTCAGATGTACATTGTCATGCGGGAAGCTGAGGTACAGGCACTATGGTAACCTTGAATTCAAGTTGAAAGCTGTTATTTAAGATAATCTTAGTAGTTTGAATGTATAAAGGTCTTTTTCCAAGTGCTTTCTTTACAATTCCCAAGCCGTATAGTCTGGGAAACACAAGTAACTATTTCTATTGTATAGATTTGGAAACTAAGGCTCAGGAGGATTAAATGACTGGCCTAAGGTCATGGAGTTATTAAGTGTCAAGAAAAAAATCTAGGTCCTTTAGACTCTAAAACCAAAGTGTTCCCACGATGCTATATTTCCAACAGTGACACAGCGATTTGGACAAAGTGATCTAAAGAGAAATGTCAATGTGTCTATGTAAAGAGACTTCCCTAGGGCTAAGCAGTTATGGCAAATAATTTAAAGATAAGATTACAGACAAATTTTGTTCAGCATGATTGAATAGAAGATATTGGCCCGGCATAAAAGTTGAAGAAATGACATCATTTGCTATTTATGCAGGATTCATTTTTAAAATTTGGAAACATTTTACTTAGATCATTCTTACTCTAATTTTATATTGCCCCTTTGTGAGTTTTATTCTTAGGAAGACTGAGTTGGTGTAGTGGAAAGAGCATAAATGACATCAGATCATTGGATCACAGATCTTGAGGTGGAAGGGACCTTAGGGGCCACCTAGTTCCACTCTCCCATTTTATGGATGAGGAAATCGAGTCCCACAGAGGGTGACTTGCCCACAGTCAGTAAAATATCAGCAAAGTAGTGAATTATCACCAGAGTTTTATATGACGAAATAAGGAAGTAGACCTGCCATATATGGAGAGCAATGGATTACACAGAGATAGCCCAATTGTGGTGTTGATATCTACCGGACACTAAAAAAAACACAGAGAAAGGGTGTTGAGCAGTTCCTCAACAGAGGACTAGTGGAGAGAGTGCAGGTTCCCTATCCCTGGGATTGGCAAGAATTACACACCGTGAGAAGACATGTGAGCAATGACTTGAACCAGTAAAAAGAGTACTCATACTACTGGGATCTATCTTACAACTGCAATTTCAAAAAGAAAGTGTGCTCGCCATCACCACCACCACCACCACCACTACTACTACAACTACAATTAATAACAATAATAAGAAGAAGGAACAGCAATGATGACATTTACATACTGTCTACTATGTGCCAAGCACTGTGCTAAGTGCTTTACAAACATTATCTTGTTTGACTCTTACAATAATCCTGGGAAATAGATGCTTTTATTATCCCCATTTTACAGTTGGGAAAACTGAGGCAAAGAGAGGTTAAATGACTCACCCAAGGTTACTTCTCTAGTAAGTGTCTGAGGCTGGATTTGAACTCAGGTCTTTCTTAATCCAGGCCTAGTGCTTTATTTGCTATACCACCTAGCTGCTAACTATTACCTTGATTAGAGGTGTCAAGAGATAATTCCAGTTATGCCACTAATGTGCATGACCTTGGATAAGTCCCTTGACATCTCTAAATGTCATTCCATTTTAAATAAAATTGGAACATGAAATCCAATCTATCACAATATTAATAATACTTTTAATACTTCGAGATATTTGGGGAGGTTGATTTTCAAGAGGTATAAACAAAGAGGTGGATAATTTCTTTTGAGAAATGATTTAATTAAAATCCTACAAGAACATAAAGGACTGGACTTTATGACCTTATGGTCTCCTTTCTGACCTAAGTGCCTAAAGCTGTATCTATACAATGTTATAGACCCAAAAGAAGATCATGAAATTCATTCATGTAGACAACTCTTTTCAAATACTGATTAGGTGGTCCTATATAGACAAAATGTCTGGAATGTCTTTACTACATTTTTCATTGTTCAACCAGATGTTTGCTGTCATTTATATGCTGCCTCAATGTTCTTCAATTTATCCCTTATTTAAAACCACAACCTCCAATTCAGTGCAGCAGGATTCCTGATTCTGGCAAAGGTCTGAGGGTTCCAAAACACCATGATGTATTGGTGACCTGTCCTCAGGATCATAGTTCCAGAGCTGAAAAGGGCCTCAGAGGCCCAGTCTCATCCAACCTATCACTTCTACATATGAGGAAACCGAGGCCTTGGAGATTAAGTAATTTACCCAAAGTCTCACATCAGCCATGGGATATGAACACAGATCCTGTCACTCCAGAGCTTATGCTTTTCCTCCTGTGCCGTGGGAGCCAAGCACTGAACCAGAGAAAGAGGAATCCAATGGCTAGAGTCAAAACCCCAGCTCTTCCACTAATTCAGGGCAGTGCCTTTACACAATGGAATTAAAACTATTTGATTGTGATTATAAAATCCATAAAATGGAATTATACCTCATGGTAGCAGGAAGGGTAGGATGTGGGGGTGAGGAGGAAGGAGATTTGTAAATTAAAAAGGCCATAAAACATTTAGTAAAGGTATTACAGTTACTGAATTGTGACATATCTATTTCCATCAGTCTTATAATGAGTTAGTTCTCTCAACTCTAAAGTAATTCCTATTGTTAGTCTGTTTATATTTTTCAAATCCAAATTCCAAAGTATTCTGTGGCAGAATATTAAACAATGATAAAAAAAAATTCTTAAAGTAAGAGGAAAATTTCCCCCATTTTAGAAGCACTCCAATAGTTAATGCAGGCAAAATAACTTGGCTAAGAGGCATTTATTTACTCCTATACAAAGTCATTTGAATATACATTAAAAAATAGTTACATGTGTGCCAGCAGCCAAATTCAACTTTTTGTTTGTTGTAGTTCATGCACACACTAACATTTCCCCTAATCTTTTTGGAAAATGACCACCTCGATATGCCAAGTAATTCAAAGAGAGTAATAGCACATTTCCATTGAATTTTGATGAGGTTGCTCATTTGGGAAAATATATATTGAAAGCTTTTTGTCATTAATTAAGCATGTTCCAACTTAGCAGCAATGTGATCTTGCCTAGGTTTTGCAAAAGTTTCAATGAAATATGAGATTTTCAAGATGCAGCAAGTATTTCTAACTGCATCTTAATGGTCCCTCTCCTCTTTAAATAAACTTCAGCAACTGAGATTTGTCACAAATATAAATTTTGGCATCTTCAAGAATGCACACAGTTCACAGACAGGTATAAGAAGAGAAAGAAGAAAGGAAGAAAACCATTCAAAAGACCCTTAACACGTCAGCTCATAAAAAAGCAGCCTTACTAATAAAACTTCAAAATAAATATTTAATTACCCTGGCTCTTGTGATATGGTAGAAAAGCATTTTTTTTTAATCCAGAGAAATAGCAATTGCTCACATAGGGCTAGATATACACAGCAAAGACTACCTATTTACACAATATTCTTTTCTTTTAAATATAATAATTCTCATCAAAAATGAAAGAACAAAGAAATTGTGAACTAAAATTTTTCACTTACCTGGTCTTTTTAAAAAACTCTCTAATGAGAAATGATGCTCCAATTCAAACCCAGAAAGAATGAGAGGGCTTGGCTCCTTTTGAAAAGCCAACTCAAAGACTTCTTAAGTGTTTAGAATGCACTCTGCTGTGGATGGAGTTTCTCTTACTGACTTTTAGGCAGCAGCTCCCTCCTTTATATATCCTCTTTTCTGTCAATCAGTCACACGAGGAAGCACTTTTTAATTCATTCCTTTGAAAGAATGACATAATTTCTCCTTCTGATCTGACAATTTGCTCTCGGGTACCTGGAAGGAGATTCCAAATCCAGCCCCTTCAGGGCTCTGAACCAGCCCCCCTCCTCCTTTTTCCACCGAAGGCAATCCCAGATTGCTGATGGAGGAGGAGCCAGACAAAAGAAAGGGAAAGTCAGTGACTTAGTTTTCCTGTCTTCTCTCAGGAAACAAAATGCTATAAATAAAACTACTAGGATTGCAAGATTGTCTGGAAGTCTCCTCTTTCACTTAGGAATGCAGTGCTTAAAGCAATAAGCATTTAGGCTAAAATCTATGAACATTTTCAAATTAAAAAGGTGAGAGAGTATTTCAAAACTCTAGTAGGTAAAGGTTAAATGAAATTTTATTGAATATATGTATATAAATATTAAAAATTTATGTAATATTTGAAATATTGATATTTCCCTAAACAATATATGTGTGTGTGCATGTTTGTATGCATGAATGTATATATGTATGTACCTTGTAGGGGGGAGACATTGCAAGATGGTTTTTATTTCAGAAAGATATATGACTGAAAAAACACTGTAGCTTTAAAAGATGATTGTTCTTCGTCTAAAAATCCTCTTTATTCATTTAGTCTTGGCTTCATGAAATGCATCCTCCTTCCCTATAGAAACTCTTATTCTGAGTCAATGTCCATTTTGAACAGGTTTGCATAATGGTAGGTGGCAGCTCAAAGAATTAGATTCCATATGTTTTCATTAACATGACAAAGAAAAAATGTGTGTTCTCCATAAAGTAGATTCAAGGAAAGAGGAAAATGTGATACTCACCAGACCCATCCACCCCATTAGCACATATCTTGGGCCCTCTGTCCCGTAGCTGTGGTATAGCATGCTGGCCCTGGGTAGCCAAGCTTTCTTTGTGTGGGCTGAGGCACAGGTGTTTATCTGGACATGAGAGAAGGTAGTGGAAGGCTGCTCTTTATGGAAACACTGCACTCAGTGCCTTTACATGCTTTGCTGAGGAGGGACAAGTGACCTCCTGAACAGACTTCTTCAAACCCCATTGTTTCTTTGGCAATGGAACCAAACTGAATAAGCCTGGCACTGATTAGCAGGGTCTATGGAGAGCCAGAAGCCAGACAGGAGCAGCAGCAGTAGCCACTGCTGCCACAACCTATCCAATTTCCATGTCTCCAGCAGGAGATGGAAAGGGTGGAGGCCGAGAAAGTGTGGAATGTCCTGCTCCCGGGGGAGATCTGTATATTTAAGGAAGCCAAAGAGGAAGAAACAGGGAGAAAAAGGATGGAGGAAATAAAAGAGATAAAATCATCACTAACTATAAGATTGGTGATGATTTTATTCTCTACAGATCTCACCATCATTTTAATTCCTTACCTTGTGACAAAATCAGTAGTTCGAAAGCAGCCCAAAGAGGTAATAAAATATAGCTCATCATGAGCATTTACACCATTCTTTAATGTTTGCAAAACACTTTACCAATATTATCTTACTTCATTTTATCCTCACAACAACCCTAGGAAGTAGGCACTATTATTATCCTCATTATGTAAATGAGGAAACCGAGGCAGACAGCCTGGAAGAAGGGCCTAGGTCACATTGGTAAGTGAGGCTGAATGAGAATTCAGCTCTCTGTAACTCCAGGCCTCACCCTCTATCCACTGTACCACCCAGCTGCCCAGGTTAAATGGCATACTTAGAAGAGGTAGCAGAATATTGTAAAAGTCAAAAGACCTGAATTCAACTACCATCTTGACTAGTGCATGTGAGCCTTTGAACAGGTCACTTAAGCTCTTTGAGATCTTCCCTCTGTAAGTGAGGATAATCACATTTTTACTACGTACCTCAAGGGGCAGTATTGCATAGTACATAGAGGGATGACCTCAGAGTCAAGACAGTCTAGCTTCTAACATATATCGTGTAACTCCAGACAAGCTGCTTGACTTCTCTAGGCCTCAGTTTCTTCATCCTGAAAAATGAGGGAATTAGGCTAAATAACCTTCAAGGTCCCTTCCAGTTCAAGATCTATGATCTTATGGGAGACTTCTCTGTCATGGGCTTTGGTGGAGAAATTGTCCACACTGAGGAAATAACAGGTCATTTAAAGCAATGGAGTTCATGCTGCAATTACTGGGACAGATAAAGTTTGGGATATCAATTCCTCAAGGGCAAAGGTTGTTTGACTTTTTGGTCTTTATAGCCCCAGCATCTAACATATGGCTTTGCACATAGCCAATCCTTATTAAACGCTTTTTTGAAATACATTGAATTCAAAGAATCAAGCATTTGGCTTCTAATGTATGTCTGGTCCAAAATGAACATATTATCTTACAACACAAATAGAAACAAACAGCCCTCTTAATTATATCTGGACACCAGCTTGCCAGTTTGTTGATCTTTCTTCATGAGTTCATCTTTCTTAGTTTAAATAAAGGATCCCATTTCCTTACATGTAGAACAACAACCAGGAATTTTTGCTTTGGAGGCAAAGTACCACAACCCACACTAGCCCAGCATAGATTCAGATGAAGTAGGAGGAGAATATGGAGGTGTGGGGAAAGAACCCAGCCCAACCTGCTATGTGGTAGTTTCTTTTTTTATTTTACTATTCATGCTAACTACGTGCTAAGTTCTGTTTTTTCTACTCTGTTGAAGAACTGCTTGTGTTGTCAATATCCTTTAAATGGAATATACTGCTAATGCAGCACTCCTGGGTAAAGGCCCATTTTCCATACTCTGGGTATGACTCTGACCTAGTAAGGATATGCTTGTGAATAGCCCTTCTCATCTTGATCCTGAGAAAAAAGATTATTTCTCTTATATTAATAATCAATTATTTAATTACATTGAACCAAAGGACATTGGTGATGGATAAAATTGCCCAAATCCCATGGTACATGCCTTTCCATTCCTGAGTAGGAAACCTTGCCCAACTAGAGAACCTAATAAAGAATTTAATCTACGGTGAATTCCTTTCTATTATGTTCCACTTGGTCAGGTCAGAGTAGAGGTAGATCCTCTGTAGAGATTGCCTAAGGCCAGAGGTGGTCTCAGTGCCAGAGAGATCAAAGTCATATCCCCAGCATCTCATCAGAATGGGTCCACCTATCATTATAATATTAATTCTTTTCATTAATTGTTAATCAATCAGAGTTGATTACCATCTTTAGGAACTCTCTTCCAAGGGCATATAAGCATTTAGTGGGCACCATGAGGGGTCTTTGGCATTCAAGAGTGCCACTGATCCCTTTTTATTAATTATCTATTAGCATGATTATAAAATGATTAATTACCCAGAAACTGAGTCTCTCAAACTTTTTATACATCATAATCCATTCAAGAAATTTGTGCTGGACCTGGAATCAAGAAGACCTGAGTTCAAAAATGATCTCAGAAATTTACTATCTCTGTGACCCTGGGCAAGTCACTGACTTCTTTTAGACACAGTTTCTTCAACTATTATATATATATACACATATATATATTATATATACACATATATATATATACACATATATATGCATATATATATGTGTATGTATGTACACACACCTATATATTATATATATGGTATGCATGTACACACACACACACACACACACACACATAGAATTGTCTCATTTTGTGAACAGCCTAGAAAATTGTGGGATATCAGAGTTAAAAGTCAGAATTTGGGCTTAATTCATGACATACATAATATACAGCTGAAAAGCAACCTTGTACTCAAAACGTTTCCTGATCCCTCCAACTTCTAGCTCCCTCCTTCCCTAGAAAATCTTATATTTAACTTTCCGGTATTTGTTTCATATATACACATATGTATGTATGTATGTGTGTATGTGTATACATATATATGTATGTATTGTTCCCTCCAACGCAATGCAAACTCCTTCAGGATAGGAAATGATTAGCCTCGTCCTTTTTTTTTTTTATCTAATTCGTTATCTCCTTCTGGTTGTATGTTTTGATCTTCTTTGTCACCAAAGAAGGATTCTATGGTCTGACTTTTTTTGTGCAGTTTGCTCATTTTCCCAGACAATTACTTGAGTTTTAAACTCTTTGTTAAGGTAGGGGTCTGCTTCCAGTGTGGAGAATGTACTGTCTCCAGCGTCAAGTGTTTTGTGCAGCTGTTTTCAGAGATGCCTCTAAAAGATCTGCAAATTTTTATTTTTACAAAGTGATATGATCAAGGGCAAGGTGTTTACTCCTTTCCTGTCCTGGGCTCTGAGAGTCTATGAGTGACCACAAGCACTCTTTTCTGCCTTGGAACTGTGAGGATTCTCTCCTTACCACCACCATAAGCTACACTACTCCAGCACTCCTCCTTTCCCCAGGACCACCACCCAAAACTGTGACCCAGATCCAAACACGGGGAAAGCAAGAGATTCCTGCCTCAGCACCAGCAAAGAGATCCCTGCAATCCCCCTCTGATCAAGCTGTTCGATTCAGCCTCTGTGGGATAAAAATTCTGGAAGCAGCCACCACTCCGAGGCTACACTGGGACTGGGGCTGGGACTAAGCTTCTCTCTCACCATGGTTACAGACCTTTCCCACTGACCTTCTAAAATTGTCTTTGGTGTTTGTGGGTTGAGAAGTCTGGAAACCACCACAGCTGCCCTTAATTCAATCCCCTGAGGACTGCTCCAGGTTTGCTGAAGGCCTGGTCTTTGCCTGGGGTGGGGGGTGGGGGGGAGCAAGCAGAACTGTGCTCCTCTCCCAGCTGGATGCAATAGACCTTTCCAATCAATCATCCAAGTTGTCTTGGGCTGGAAATTTGTTTCACTCTGTCTTTTTGTGAGTTCTTCTGCTCTAGAATTTGATTAGAGCCATTTTACAGGTATTTGGAGGGGTTTGGGGGAGAGCTCAAGCAAGTCACGGCTTTTACTCTGCCATCTTGGCTCCACCCCTGCCTCATTCTTTATATCCTTATTGCCTAGCACAATGCATGACACATAGTAGGTTCTTAATAGATGCTTATTGATCAATTGTTTGATTATAGAAAATCTTATCATATATATTTGTACATCAGTCTGCACAGAGACCAAAAAATTGACATAGGGAAATGATGCTGATTGAGAAAATAAAGTATGAGAGTAGGTCTTT